TCCGTTTTTATTTAGTTTGGTTATGTATTTGATTACGATAACCCGGTCCTTTTACGAGAATAGTGATATCGATCTTCTCCCTGTTGGCAGATTGTATGAATTATGCAAACGTCATACTGTTAAGTCAAAATCCAGGTAAGTGGCAAACTTTGACTAGTTTGAGTACTAGTGTATCCATGTTCGGCATGCGTATTGCACATTCGAAGTGTAAAATGTTGCTACAGGACTGGGTTGGTTCAGCACCCACCCTCAGGCTAATTGGAGAAGCAGTAGAGCTAGTGGAGAAGTTATTTGGACAACTATATCCCACCCGGTCGGCGCATCGCAGATAAAGTGCCAGTTTTCTCACACAAGGCCCGATTAGCATTCATCAACTTGACACATGTTCCGCCGCCGCCGCGATATCCAGCTGTGCATGTATGCTGCAGCAGTTCAGGCACTTCTGCTATACGGCGCGAAAACTGGATAAAGGGAGACTGTCAGTGTTCAAATGTCGCTGTGTGCGCAGCTTTGCACGAATCTGGTGGGTCAACGAGACGAGCAATGCCGAGGCGAAGGACGGAGATCAAGATGATCGCGGTCACCCACTGCAGCAAGTGATTGACCTATGTTGGTTGGTGCGTGTTACGCATATCTCCAAGTAGGTTGCCAAGGAGCGTGCTGTTTGCCGAGGCAGATAGTGGGTGAAAAAACAAGAGTAGGCAAACTAGAACCCGAGTATAAAAACCGCAGTCAAGAGACGGCCGTTTAGGTCGCTTCCGGCTTCTTGGATCAGGTTTCTGGATCTTGTTGATGGATGGTTAGGGACACTGATATGGCTGAGTGTCGCAGTGGTACCTATGAATCTCAATTTCTTTGTAACCTTGGTTTTCTGGAATTTTCCATTCTCTGTGCTACCGCTTTCAACTTTCCAATCCTGGTCCTACACCTCATCCAAGTGAATAGCCAAAAGACAATCATAACTGGCGCACAAAAGGGCATGATAAATGGTTGTACAATTTGAAACTGGAGGGACTCAGGCATATCAGTGGCATTAACTTGAACCGTTTGAACAGCCCACATTAGTGTAAGATGACGATCTTACGGATTTACAAGTAAGGAAATAGGTCCTCTTATTAAATACCCAAAATACGTTGGCGTGCTGTCGATTGTCTGGTGTATAAACCGGGATGGTTACGATATCCAGGATGCAACGACCACATTTTCACCCTTCACCGAATTCTCGACTACATTCCCGCAGTATACTCAACTACTGTTTTTATATTACAAGAGCGACCTTCGACTCGGTGGGCTATATCAATATGGCACTGCATCTCTGCGGAGATATGTATTTCATTACCATTCCTTTACACTGATAGCCGAAACCGAGTCCGAACTTCCAGCTTCACTTGTGTTCATCGCGGAAAGCAGTATTCATGAGGTTTGCCCCCTCTTCTGTCCAGCTCTGTAGCAGCTACGATCGATTTTCTGCTAGGTGGCAAGTTCTTTTACCTGGGGGCGAGCAGATGACGTCCTGCTAAGCGAAAGTCCAGTTAAGGTGCAAGCTTTCCTAGGTGGTGTTTGTGACTAAAACCGTGTTCGGTGTTTTCGTTGCCCAAAAGTAGTGTTGCAGATACGGCTTCACCCTAACTGGGGAAGTGATATAGAAAATACAGGAATTGTGCAATCTGGCGGCTATCTCAACTCGCGGACAAATAACAAGAGTTCCGGTAAGTATGCCAAAGAGTCAGCTGACGTTTCTCACGCAGAGACATCTGTGGCGTCGCCGTGACATCCACT